CTCCTGACCATCAACCCTTCTATTTCCTTTCAGCTATTATTGATGTCTGCCAGTGCTTTTTTTTCTCTGCACTCTGAAAAAAAAAATCTATTTTTACTTTCCCCTGCTCTGCTGCTGGAGCTCCCATGTTCCGTCCTCTTCTCATTAACGGCGTGCGTGACACCTACACAGAGGCTCTGGGAGATGAATGGTCTGATTCCTCTGGGGAAGGAGTGAAGTATTACATAGTGTGCTCACACATGCACACTGTGTCAGTGAGAAGCACAGGAACACACTGCTGCTCAGATCATCACGGGATTCTACAGCCTTACTGCTTAAACCACGCAAATAATGGTCAGGACAACAGGCAGACAACAAACAGACAACAGGCAGACTACAGGTACACTACAGGTAGACAACACTGCTATACACACACAACCACAAGTGAAATAAATGTCTCATATTTAATGACCTACTTCCTGTGTCACTGTGATGTCTGTATACTGGTATGTTGCTCTGGTTACTGTTATCTGTTTTCTTTAGCGAAGGCTACAGTTGTTCGTTAAGTTTCCAATCACTCCAACAAGGAAAATATATCATTAGAAAACAACTGTGTGTTGTTTTAAATAAACTGTCATATAAAACAATTAGAAGTGTACGGTTACAAATGTGGAAAGTGTTAGCCACACTTAGCTTAAAGTTAGCTTAGTGATACGTACACATTGGAGCTGAATATTTGTTCTCACAACAAATCAGCTGCTGTAGGACGAGATGAAAGAAAGAGTATATTCTAGTGTGTGTGTGTGTGTGTGTGTGTGTGTGTGTGTCTAATTGCTCGGCCTGCAGGGGCACTCATGGGACACAGAGTTATGTGGGTACTAGGTGCCAAGAAGGAAACCATAAACCATCATTATGATGCCAAAACAAGATAGGGAGCCATGGACGGGTGCGGGGTGTGAGGGAGGTTATGAGGATCAGATGTGGTCTGTAGACAGAGATGACCCAGTTCATGCCCAAAGGCCAAATGTGTTCAAACAGTTACAGAACGTCACTGTTAATATAACTTAGGAAACTCGTATCTAGGGAGCTCGTATCCTGAAGCCTCACTGTATTATCAACGCTGCATCAAAGAGAGTGTGTTCTCTCCATCCATCCATCCATCCATCCATTCATCCATCCATCCATTCATCCATCCATTCATCCATCTCACCTGATCTCCCTCCAGCTCTACCTGACCACGTCCACACACCATGCTGTGCTGCCAGCACCATTACCCACTTCATCAGTGACCCCCGTGTTCGCTAACAGTCATCCATTGGTGCTGATTAAACTTTTAAATGCCATTTAATAGAAGCCTTATGTTGAGCCAACGTGTCAGTCAGCAGTTGATGGGGAGTAAACAGACACCGGCTCACTCTGCTGCCAGCTCAGCCTACTGGGCTGACTTTCCTCGGCTGGACGCTCGTCAGCCTCGGGCCAGGACAGGGTGATGAGAGTGAATGTGACCTGGACTCAGAGGAGACAGACCAACAGCAACAGCAACAACTTTTACCCTCTGTTTTACCCAGTAAGAGGGTAAAACAGGGGGTATTGTGTTCTCAGTCCACAAAGCCTGACTGTTGTTTTTCTGGAATTAATTTTCCATCAATACAACGTGAGTCGATGAACAATAGCCGCTCTGTTTACAGGGTCTGTTTATTTGGGGACCAAACATTGGTTCTCAGCAACCGATAATGAATTTTTTTTTCCACATTCCAACACTATTGGATTACAGGTAGTTTTGAAGGACACAGAGTCAGATTGACATTGTTAAAAACAGTCCAGTGTCCTGTGTTTACCATCCCTGTAGAACAGCATCACATTATTCTCTCAGCATGCTGTCCTGACACACTTCACATCACATGTCCTTGACTCTGGTACCACCGAAGGGCAGGGTCAGCTCCTGATGGAAGCTGCTAAAAAATATAGCCTAAAGGTGGGCCTGATTGATGTCCTGATGAGCTCTTTTAGAGTTATCATCAAACCAAAGCTGATATCTGGTCTGACTGGCAACCCGCTGCATCACCACATGCTGTAATGACCCTGTACAAGTGAGGACTTCACCCACACTCATACAGTATCTGCCATTCTCTGTAGTAGTACTGCACAGTACTGATGTGTATCCGACATCACTCTTCTTATGATTTGTTTTACAGAACAACCAACAGAAGCACGGGCTTGTCATGTAGAACCTACAATAACAATTGTTCTTCTGCAAACTTCTACAATTTGACTAAACAATGGTGAAACTCCAACTCCAACTACTACTACTACTTAGTAACACTATACTAAACGCTACAAAAGAAAAAGGTTTTCAATTTCGCCATCAATCTCTAGTACGTTAATGAATTGCAGTGGCCATATAACTGGAGTAACATCAGTAACGAGTCACAAACGAAACCGATAAAACTCATAATACAATAAAGTCCAGAGTAAAAATGATTTACTAACAACACGATACCAAAGCAGCAGCTGGACTGTAACTGAAAACCCAACAGAAAAACAAATTAAAGGCAAACTTACTATGTTCGTAGTTGAAGAACTGGGCCTGTGATATCCGAGGTTCTGGTTCGGCGCTCAGACTCTGGTGCAGATGTTTTTCTTTATCTGTAGGTTAGTAGTCCAACAAACTGAATCTTGTAAATTTTGTTTTTATTGTACTAAAGTTTCGACATTTGGTTTGTTTTGTTTTCCTTTGACAGCGTACAGACGCCATGTTTAAATCCCGCTCCTTTCCAAACGTTAAGCCCGCCCTCTTCTGCCTTCGATTGGTGTAAATTCAAACCAATAAGCAGCGCCGCGTCATGCCCTCGACCAATCAAACTATATCAATAACGTATTTACGAGGATTTGAGGCGAAGTCGACGTCTCAGTAATACCAAACAGAGAACATTGTATTTAAAGTGATTAAACCCGGCCTTAGACTGTTGATATAAATAGACAGAGCGCCCCCACCCTGAAGACAAAGGCTTTTCCAGCCTTTTCGGTTTGTCTATAAGTAGCCAGTAAACGTCACCGATGTGACGTCAATATCACTACGAATTTAGTAACTGGCGACGTCACGTGACCAATCATAGTCACTCACTACCTTTTATTTGTTAGACATGAATTCTTTATTTGTTGTGATTTTTTCCCTCCATTTTCCATTTTTGGATTATCTTTTGAACGAGATTAGCAGTTGATGATTTCTTCAGTAATGTTGCAATGACTTTCTTTCAGTTGTTTAACTTTCTCATAGAAGGGAAACTAAAGTTCCTCTTTTCAGAACCATGGGAATGGAGCTGTTCAGGAAGTGGGAGCGAGCGTGTGCATGTGTTTCCAGGTTTATGAGTCGGTCAGCATGAGTGTTTTTAAAAAAGACCTGGATCAGAAGGGCACGCATGCATTTGCATTGATGGCATTCTGCAGCTGCTCCTGTGTTCTCTCAACCACTGGCAGCTTGATTGACAGGCAAAGAGCTGCTGCCAAATCATGCTTGTGGTCCGGGCAGGCTGTGGGAGACGGGGGGGTGTTAAGTCGTCAGTATGAGGCATATGTCAGAGATCAGTGCTGGACTTTGGAGATGACTGAGATACTAAGAGAGGAAGGGCATGGTGGTCTGAGGTGGACACAGATTACCGGGGGCTTTGTGTCCAGACCGCAGGCTGAATAACACACAACATGGACATGGACCTTCCCAGAAAACCTCTTCATGTTTAGATTTGGCCTGAAACCTCACACATCACAGACTCACATCTCTTAGATTTGGCCTGAAACCTCACACATCATGAGCTCTATCACAAACAAACCCTTGAACTGTTCTAAGGCCATGATGAGGACTCCCTACAATGACGGTTCTATGTACAGAACCTCAGAAGGTCCAAAATACCCCCAGGGTCTCCACAGCTCCACAACCAGTGGTTCTCTAAAGGCTGCTCACAGTCAGGTTTTTTGTGGACGGATTTACTCTGGAGAACGTCCCTGGAGCCAGAGTGTGGGATTAGAACCATTCTTCCAGTCGCTGCTCTTCCGGGTCACGACCTTATTGCCCATGTTTGTTCATTAAACGAAAGAAGGACTTAGTGTTAAGACGAGGTGTCGATAAGAATAGCAGCGTTACTGACCGTGGTAACTGAGGGTACAACATGCCGTAGTAAGCTGGGTCATGTGACACATGGCTGATCAGAACTCCTCCTCCATAGAGTATCGTAAGCCAGAGAAAGTAGGAAGGGAGAGAGGGGGAGATGAAGGGAGGACAATGTTGGAGATGTTGAAGAAGGAAGGCAGCAGGAGGGGAGGGAGCGGCAAAAAAGTACATGATTGTGGTTGGTAGGAGTAAAGCAACAGTCAGAGAACAGATGAGTGGCAGATGATCAACTACAGTGACCCCTGCTGGATTAAGTCACAACATAAGTCATCATTAAACATGGATTTAAATCTTTTCCACAGATTTTTTTTTATTTTAATGTTTCTGGGATGAATGGTTTGTTAAAGGATTGCAGCTCAATGGGGAATGAAGTGGACACTAGGGAATGTTTCGGAAGTAAAGGCTGAAGGAGGGATCCATGACCTCTGTGTTCCGATGTCCAACGTCCAACTTCCAGTCTGGATCATAGGCTCCCGGTCCTGGAGTCTTCTGCCAAAACCATGGACAAACATCAGTCAAGACGTCATTTATTATAAATAAACATAAAACTTCATCCAATCATTCACACACTGTACTGTAGTATTAGACTTACAGGATGTACGTAGTACAGTCGTGGTACAGTGGATCTGAAGCAGGAAGTGACTCCTCCCTCACGTCTGGTCTGTGGACTGTAGTGACCCGGAGCCAGGCCCCCCCTCTGAGGTGGGTTTTAATGAGGAAGAAATTGATGGATTGATCATGTGACACGTCTCAGTGAACAGTCATTGATCAAACTGTCAATCAAACACCAACACAGGTTGACAACAACCAGCTGAGGCGGATTTTCACTCTACATCTCCAACGTCATTTCACCTGATGTATGTGAACATGTGACAAATAACGCGGTTGAATCGGTCTAAACTGGTTCAGTCAACGGGCAGAAACCTCGGCCTTAACCCAATTACACCTGAACACAGCCGACTGTAATCAAGCAGATGAGTGACTGTAACCCTGACGGAACTGATTCTGTCACCGATCCCACCACCAGACCACCGTGAACCTCCACCAGTGTTGGTTTCATACGTGGGTTTGATTTTCAGACCTCGTTAGATTTCAACTTATGACAGCAGTGATTGACAGCAGTGATTGACAGCAGTGATTGACAGCTTTGATGCTCGTATAAAACTTTAATATGGAGAAGATGAAAGCGATCTGCAGGTGTCTGAACACTTGACCCCTCCCACCAGCAAACACAAAAGAGCCTGGCTCCCAACGCTGTGATGCTGTCATTTATGACGCATTAGTAGAAGGCGCACAGGTCAAAGGTCAGTGCTAATGCTAATAAAGGCACGCAGGTCAAAGGTCAGTGCTAATGCTAATGTGGGCAATGAAAAAAAAATTGTTATCAATGTATATTTTGTAACTCCTCCTCCTCCCAGTGATCTGTTATTTATGGTCTTGCCGTGACTACTGTCTTAGCTGGTCTTGGTATCATATCTGCCCCCTCCCTCTCCCCCTCCTCCCGTGTTGCTATTCATACTTTGATTATTTTGACCTCCAACACCTTTTTAGATGAACCGTTGTTGTCTGTTGATGCTGCAGTCACACGGTCACATACCATCGTTTACAACGGTTCTTCTGTCTTGTGACTCTGGTCCTGGAGTCACCCCTTCGTCTCACCCGCTCTATCTCCTTCCTCCCCCTCCCTCTCGTCCTCTCTCCTTGCCTTTCACTTCTCCTTCCTTCTTACCCACTAACACACTTCCTGGTCAGCAGCAGCAGCGTGCCATGCAGAAATAGCATCACCCACCCCCCTCTCTCCCCCACCCTCCTCAGACATCAAACTTTTTCTCGTCCCTGAACACAGCACCAGCCTTTCATTCCCAGCCACCGGACTCTGACACTATCCTCTGTTCTTCTCGGGGGGAGGGGAGAGTGATGTTTAAACCCCTGCTGTCAGGTCCACAGGTGGCGCACTTGTCCACAGAGGGATGGATGAACGTTAGTTTAATGGAAGACTCGCAGTAACACCTTTTAACTTTGACCTGTTTTTTTCTCTGTGTCCAATGATAATGATGATGATGATGATGATGATGATGATGATGATGATGATGATGATGATGATGATTATGACAACAGAGCTCAGGTGTGTTTTGTTTTCAGCAAACAGTCCGACCTCAGCTGAACGTCTGAATGTTTCCACTGACAACACAGACCAGTGACTGACTGTATGAAACAACTGGAGCTCTCTTGGACCCCGTTGGTTGTTACGACCAGCTCATGTACAGAACGCTCTGATGTCACAGCGGTGAAATCTAAACCTACTGAAAATATAATGCAGTTAATCCCCAAGTCTTAATAACTAGTCCTGGTGAGCAGATACTTACAGGAGGGAAGACGATCCTCTGAACAGTCGACCGAAACATGACGTGTCTGAGCGGGTGGGGGGGTGGAGAGGGGAGGGGAGGAGAGAAGGGGTGAGGAGGTGAGTGGACTCCTGTCTTCCTGGTTGCTCTCCTCAGCTCTGCTCCACATCTTACCTGCAGGGAAGCTTCTCCACTGGTCTCTCTGTCACGTTGTAGTCACACGGTGAAGTCTTGAGGTGCTGTGACAGAGAACAACAACACAGATCTGTTGACTGTAGACAACAGGTGGCGGTGACGACTGCCAGACGTTCAACAACACAGCAGCGTTTCTCCGCTTCTCAGTTAAAGGACGTGTCTGTGGTTTTAGTCAAAATCTGTGTCAACAACCAGGTGAATAATGAATGGAAACCACTGCCTGAGGACGGGGTGGGGGGTGGGGGGGGGCAGAGGAGAGCCCGCCCCGCAGCTCTAATTTACCTGTTACTGTTACACAAACCACATGCAAAAGAGTCAAGTCAGAAAGTCCCAACATGCACCTGCTTTACTATATAACACATTTGTCTAGTTATAACCAGGCTGTGACCTGAGAGACGGATGAATGGATGGATGGGTGGATGGATGGATGGATGATGAACGGAGGCATGGAAGGTGTCTCTGACCCCAAGGGTGACGATATCTGGCCGTGGGCAGTTTTTGAAAGAGTAGGACGCCTGGTGCTTCTGCCCCTGCTGGATGAAGTCAGTATGTTCATATGCCCCCGGCAGCAGCAGATCCCCCCCACCTGCGGTCAGGGTCCGGGCTTCTCTCCCGACACCTTTGAACCCGTAGGTCTTCTTCACAGGGTTCCGCTCAGCTTCTTCAATGAAGTCAGGAACGTGATAGAGCCCAGGGTGGGGCGTGTCCTGGGGGGTGAGCAGAGGGCAGGGGTTTGGGGTCAGTGGCAGCGTTTCCATGATGTCCTTAAATGCACCTGGAAGTGAAACTCTCCAACTGAAACTCAGCAGTTACCAATACACCCCCCCACCCCATCACCACCCTGACTCCCACCCCCCGCCCCCGGCCTGGACACACTGTTAGACAGAACACTGCTCATCACATCAGGATGAACTGATACTGATACTGTCTGGGTCTTATTATGGTCTGTACTGTGGGACAAGGGAGGGCCTGGATCCTTCTGTGAAGTCCTGGCAGATGGAACACTTCAGGCGGGGGGGAGGCCGGGGGGTGGGGGTGAGAAAGTGCAGTGATGTCAGAGCTGCTCTTTATGCTGCACCAACACCGACAGGTTTATGGGCTGGACTGGAAGCCACCTGAGCTACCTAATGAGTCTCTCACTAACGACGCTGTGGCGTGCGGCGGGTGACACCTACCCTCATGGCTCCCAGCCACCAGCTGTCTCGTCCGCACCGCTCCGCCTTGTCACCGGCCTGGAGATAAGAAGCAGGAAACAGAGCAGAGCCTGGTTGTGATGACACTGCTATGACAACTATCTCCTGCTGGACCATGGTCTGCCGTACCCTGGTCTGCTGGTCCTCATTAACCACCCTGAGGTATGAGTCCCTACCTTATCGCTCCTGGTCCCGACCTTGGACATGTCCCTGACTTTAGCCTGGTTTTTCCACGTCGTCTTCCTCGTCAGTCTGCTCCCTGCTCTTGTCTGTCGGCAGTGACACCTGAACACCCTCCAAACTGTGACTGTTACCATGGCAGCGACTCTACTGTCATTCCATTTTTTGTAGTGTACCCAGGAGACACTTCTGAACCCTCACCAGGGTTCATCATACACTGTATACATAGTACTGCGTACTGCAGATACTTATTCCAGCATGTGATCTACATACTGTATGTGACATTTGGAGTGAGGCTACGAGAGCCGTTAGAATATTCAGAGTGAAACTTGGCAGCCAGGTGTCACTGAAATAAAATAAAATTAAAAACAGGGTTAATTAATTCCACTGCCTCGGAGCGTCGTTCGTTTGACATGAAGAGAAGTTTCAATGCAAATTCTCTTCTTTTATTGACGTTTCCTCTGAGCCGCTGTTACACGAGGTCACTGCTGTGAAGACGCCGTGTGTGTGTGTGTGTGTGTGTGTGTATGGCCATATCATAGACTATATATAATAAATGGACAGAGCTGTTTGTTACTCTGTGAATTCTGGGAGAGGTTTGGGACAGATTTCTATAAAAAGACACATATGTCAGGTGTTGTTGTTGTTCAAAATATAGCATATAGCATAAAATGTAGTCAATTAAGAAAAAAAATCTATGAAATCTATCTAAACAAGAACTCCAAGAACCCTGTCCCAGTTGGATCCAGTCATGACATCAACACCAGAAATGAAACTTGACTCCGGGCCTTTACCAGGTGGACTGTAGGTTTACTGACTCCATGAATGAGTCAGAGCCTGAGGCAGAGAGCTGCTGTGTGAACAGAGAACTGTTAGTTCTTGATCCTAATTTAGAATCATCACCAACCTGCAGAACAAGTAGAAATAATTAAATAATTTAAAATTCTAATGAAGACATCTTCTGTGCTGCTGGTCCACGGGGCCAAAACCAGTCCTCGTCCTCATGGAAACATCGGTACCAATGACTGACCAATGTACCAAAAAAACCAATGCAGATGCAGTTCAACGACAGCAAAAAAATTTTACTCATTATTTGGTGAAAGAAACGAGCCAATCAGGAGGCCAGGTCCACAATAGAGCTTTATTTATTTTATCATTCATTAAAGTAACAAACTCAGTATCTCCGCAAGCTACTGTAACAAACTCAAAATCATCAGAAAATAAAAAACAGGTACACCCCTATTTACACCACCGTCTCTGATGTACAATCACCTGCACCATGTGATGGAAGGGGGGGGGGACTGAGGAGGGGGCGGACGCCAAGTAAGACATGTGATAATCAGCTTCTACATGGTGCCGTGCCAACAGCAGCAGACAACACATGGTGTTTAAGAGTCAGCAGGGAGGTGGACGGCACAAGGCTGAGCTAACGTCCAGCGCCACGGTGAGCACTTCACAACAGAAGCCTTTGATCAGCCCACTCAGAGCTTTGATATCTTAACGACAGTCCAGACTTCATCTGAACTGAAGAGGCATTGGCTGATGCTCCTCAGTGCTTTAAGAGGGCAGGGGGTAGGGTCAGGGTGGGGGGCAAAAGGTGAAAATTTGGAACAGTAAACATTGTCATGAGGAGTCTTAGCAACAAGGAAGGAAATAAAAGGCGCGTCCCGTCCTCTGGTACAAAACAAGGGAATCATCAGTGAGCACAAACTGAAGGGTTCAGAAGTCTGAGAAAACAAGACAATTTCATCTCTGGGTAGATTGTAAAATTTATTGGAAAACAAAAATATACAACTTGGAATGAATTTTGAGGCATGACCAGAGGTCATTTAAAATAAAAAGAAAAGTAAAAGTAGTGAGTAAAACATTAAGCATAAGATTAGTTGTTTTTTTTCTTTCTTTCTGATATATAGAACAGCAGATACAAAAAGAGTTTGTACGAGTACCTAGGAGATACACCCGTGTCATTTTTCTGCAGTAGTGCAATGCTGAGAATTTCCATATATACTTTGTCCATAGTCCATGCAGAGTTTAAACTCCTCTACATTGTTTCCATGCCAACAGTGTTGCCGAGTGACAACCAGCTGACAGGTTTCCAATGTCGCCATGCGTGGAGGGGGCCCCGAGCACACAAGACAGGAAGATTGCAAGTTCTCCAGCTCCCAGGGGCCTCCACGGGCATCTGGTTGAACAACCATTCCGTCACTCCAAAACACCATGACAGCAAAAGAAAGGGACATCGGGACAAGAGCCTATGCAGTTTACATGCAGTTCCTTTGGACAGCAGAAGGAGCAGGGGGCGGAGGGGGCTATTAAGATTTTACAGATAAATTACACAAAGAAAAAGGCAAATTATTTATATAAGAAATCTGTACAAGGCCTTCACTTCGCTGTCATCATCTGTACGAACTCTGCGGGGACAAAGCAGACACGGGTTTTTGCGTCAGTCTTAAATCAAGGAGTGACTCCAGCACAGGTGTGTGTGGGTGTGTGCGAGAAAGACAATGTGGACCAACCTTCATAGTTGACCTGTCCATCTCCATCAATATCTGCTTCTCTGATCATCTCATCCACCTCCTCGTCAGTCAGCTTCTCACCCAGGTTTGTCATCACATGACGCAGCTCAGCAGCACTGATGTATCCGTTGCCATCCTAATGTCGGTGATTAGGCAGTCAGAAACAAACGACAAAAAAAAAAAAAAAAAAAAAACACTGACAAAAATACAGAGCTTTACAACAACATTACCTTGTCAAAGACACGGAATGCTTCTCTGATCTCCTCCTCACTGTCTGTGTCCTTCATCTTCCTGGCCATCATGGTCAGGAACTCTGGGAAGTCTATCGTCCCATTTCCTTGAGAGGGAAGGAGGACGAGGAGGGTATGAGGGATTTCCAGTCAGGACACCAGGTTCATGTGGTTTCTGGGCTTTAAAGTCAGATTAACACTCACCATCAGCATCCACTTCATTGATCATATCCTGCAGCTCTGCCTCTGTGGGGTTCTGGCCCAGAGAGCGCATGACTGTGCCCAGCTCTTTGGTGGTGATGGTACCATCTCCGTCCTTGTCAAAGAGTGAAAAAGCCTCCTTGAACTCTGCAGGAAAACAAACAGAGTACATACTTATTTAGTACAAAACAATAAACTCTAGTTGTATGTGTATGTTATAAGAACAGACATGATTTGACCAAATTACTAAACTGCCGTAGGACAAACTTAAAACCAGCTGTCACTCAAGCCAGAGTCAGTTTAAGGCTCACACGGTGATTATGGTTTACAGTTACAACAAGCTGCGGTAAAATGAGAAACTTCGAACTGCTGTCACTTCTGGCTAAACAGTGGCAATAAACCAAGAATCAAGGGCAGAATCTGAAACCTCAGCACAGACTGACAGCCTTTTCCGTGTGTACGCACATGTGTGTGTAGGGGCATGGGGTTCAAGGGACGGACAGCTACATGTCAAACTTGACAAGGAGAATTTATGATAAGTTGTTGCATAAGGCAGTTTTTTTGGTGTCGTAAAATGTAGAGCCTGCTATGTCAGTGACAGGGTCAAACATACAGGGCAACACCCATTTTAATGAAATGGCCTCTGCACAGCGGTGTAGTCAGCACACCAACACCATAAAACAGATCTTACATGTTTCAAACCAACCAATAAAACCTTCCATCAACGAGACGGTTGACAAATTCAAACAGCGTCAGTTAAAGGTGGTCGTAGTGGTGCGGCCGATGTCAGTAGACATAGTACGAGCATCATCTGCTTATTGTGAAACCAGAGACCACAACAAAGTCAAATCAATAGAGGAAGTACGATACTGTCAGGGAAAGCCTCTACGACTGTGTACGTCTTGTAGCTCAGACCCAAGGCAGTAGGAGGAAGGACACTCCCCTACAGTAGTAGACTACGACATCGAGGCCTCTTCCCACAGCGTACAAAATGCAGGTGGCTGCAGCATTCCAATCTAATGAGAACACACCCAGAGCAAAGGACTGATGTATACGATAAGAGGCTGAGGTCTCAACCACAACTTCCTAGATTACATCATTTATTACAAGGCGACCAATGATAATGCTTGAACCTTCCAGGGGCCAGTCCTACTTTCTGGAGCCAGCAACAGCAGTTTCATTCTTTCCTGTTTTATGACCAATACGCTGCCGCCACCACCAATGCCCTAAAAGGCAAAAGTGTAAATCCACTAGTCGGGTATCCATAATGCGGTCCATTTTGTGGGACGTGAAGAAAGTAGGAGATCAATGCAGCAATGTCTTACCGGCAATCTGCTCTTCTGTAAGCTGATCAGCCTGCAAACATCAAACAGGTTCGTTAAAAGAAGGAAATACGAAAATACAAAACAATAAGCATGCATTTACAGTACATTTGATAAAACTGCTGTTTTTAAAATTCATATTACATGTATACGTAGTTATATAGGATTGTTCTACATCACAATCATCGCAGTACAAAAAACCCCAGCAATTTCCCAGCGCTATACGACCATTTTTACTATACCATAAATGGGTTAATCTAAAAAAAAAAAAAAATATTTGTCTGCATTCGAACGTTCGACGACGCCTCACAATGAATGACATACAACTTGGCGGTAAGCGCTAGCTGAGAAAGGCTTAGCGTAGCTACAGCTAGTTCAGAGAGACATTGAATAAAACGGTTTTTACCGCAACCGTGCAGAAAATAGCGGTAGAAAATTAACCATCATTATTTTACTGATTATCAACCATCGCCTACAGTCTGGATATCACTGCTTTATAGACCAGAATTCTGAGGAGGTTTTTGAAAGAGGGGCGATTATTCTAGAAGCTAATAAAATGTAAGAAGGGAGACGTGAATAACGCCTATGTTCAGAACGGGTCCGTGTTTTTTGTTTATTTATACTGCAGGGATTGTCTGAAATCCAAGCAACACTCAAGCTAAGCGTTTATTCGGCGGGCAACGCTGTGGTCATGGTTATAAAGACGTCGCCGGTATAGTCTGATTTACGATAGATTTAGAGCGTTTAGCATTAGATGGCGACTCTCTGATGAAGTGGCAGATAATAACCATCCGTGGACAATGTATAAAAGTAGTTTTCTTACCATTTCGATGTAGTTGTAGCGGTTGGTTCACACAATATCCACGACGTACAAAACAGTGCAGTAGCCCTGACGTACAGAACAATCCCAATGAACACACTGAGAAAGTGGCGGCTGGACTCGCCTTTAACAGCGACACTTAACTCCGCCTCTTCTCCATATCACTCCGCTGACATCCATTTTCGCTGCTTTCCAAATATATTTAAAATCACCTCAATACTAGCGAATATCGCGCGAATAAAAACCAAAACACAAAGTCAAAGACGCCGAAGACGGCCTGTTGACGTCGGGACGTCGATATAAAGAATTTGACTTCATGTCTTTGGAGGTCTACATCCTTGCGTATGAATACTTTCTGCTACTCTGTGCTGTGGCACAAGACGTAGCCGCGCTTTCTGATTGGTCCATTCGTACCTGCAATGCGTCACTCCCATGCTCTGCGCTGTCGCTGCATCTTGTCGGTAGACATCCTCCCAGTCAGAGCCACAGGCAAAGCAGAGAGGCTTGTTGCATAGTGTGTGTGCGCGTGCGTGCGCACATATAGGTTTATATTTACAGAGATCTAGTATTAAAGTTTAAATAAGTGATAAACTAAGCTGTAACTGCGGTGTCCCAGAGCCCATTTAGATTTACTTGAGATTCGTCATCTTTCTCTCACATTTCTTTGCTCATTTTACTAGTATTGATCTCATAACTAAAGGATAGCATCGTTTCAGGAAGTGCCACAACGTTTTTGTGTAGCATTTCCTGTCTGCGCCCATCATTTATTACAACATGCTGCCATCTTTAGAAGCACAAGGTTTTTCGTGGGTTGCAGTTACCACACACTCCTGTGTGTGTGTGTGTGTGTTCATGTTTAGATGTGTGAAATGTGCCTGCTGTCTGATGACTGGCTCCCCAGGTTTAATTGTGCTGCCGGTGTGGATGGGACTTGATCCCAATCGCCTGATTTCTTATGCCTGACTGGTCTCCACTTCTCCCAGTGACCACCTGCCCCTGGGCTTCTCCCGTGGGAGCTGCTGTGGAGGAGGGTGGACGCAGTGGAAGGAGAATGATCTGAGGAATGTGCTAGAATGTCCATCCCACAAAAAAAAAAAAACACCCCTCCTCTCCAAATTCTGGTTCCACATTTAGGATTAGACAGGAATGGGAGATGAACATACGAAGTGTCTCCCACCTCCATCTGCCATATTCACAGAGGTGATGCTGCCGGTGTCATGTGTGTCATGTGTTCTGCTGAGCAGCCTGAGGTTTAAACAGTCTTTTTTTTTTAAGCAGGCTCTCTAATCTAGAACACAGAGGGTTCTTTCATTTAAATCTCTTCTACTGCTGTAGGTTTTTTTTTAAATTCTGAACATTATGCAATGAAATGAGCGACGGCACAAAGGCCAGAAAGTGTCACAAGAATCACGTCAGCTGGAGTACGAGGAGGTGTGTACCTTCACCTCAAGACCTCAAACGTTAAGAATGTGTCGTTAGAACTGATTCTTTTTTTACATTATCATGCAGAACATGTCCAGTGAATAGATGCTGCCTTTCTGTTTGGGTCATAAATATTTCAGAAGTGAGTAGTGCCTTCTATTTTCTTCAGCTTTTCATCTAGAGTGAACCACTGTATCAGCTGTTTGGGTGTTGGTGACATGGCCTTTAATGATCCCGAGGCCTCAGAGGAACTGCTGCGGATCAAAGGTGATCAGGGGTTGAAGGTTAATATGGCAAGGGCACATTGGAGCTCACGAGACAAGACTTAATGGTCCATTAAACCCGAAACCCATTTTTTAAGGTAGGCCCAAAGAGGCGTCTCCTCCCACCCCGGCCCTCCTGACAGAAGGACAATGGAGGAACCTTTAGTTTTGTTCTCCAACGTTTGTCAACTCTACTCTGCTCAGACCAGCGCCTTTCCCATTAAAACCTTCCCGTCAGCGTATCTGTTCTGTGAATATGTAACCGCCTCACGCCTCAAGTTTTTATCAGACCAGGCCAAACCTTGGACCGGTCTTTATTAAAGCGCAGCTTTCATTTCTGAACCAAAGAGGTCAAAGTTTGTTTCAGGCTGTTGAACGAAATCTGAAGAGGAAGCAGAAGAAAGGTTGACACTGTGGCGGACGTAAATGGAGGGGTGGGCAGGTGG